TTGAAATAAGTTTTATTTTAGATATAGTTACATAAAAAAGTGTCCCTTTATTAGGTTTATGAATTTTACGCAGTAGAATTACTACAAATATATCAATCTATATTAATCAGTCTTACATGTCTAGTCGTTAATGTCATCTAAATACTATCTTTAATATTCATACTGTGACCGATAAGCTAAGAGAATAAATTTTTCGTAATTCATTTTAACTGTAGTTATTATATACTTGGAAAATCTTGAGATCTTACGTTTCTGAGTTTTTCGCTTATGAAACACCATAATGGACAAAATTTAGAGTTTAAAAAATTAAATATTCAAATCTGTCAGATATTTAATAACCTTTAAATGTATTTTGACATAAATCTGTCAAATATATCTTGGAATTTGTAGTCGTCAAACCAACTGATATGGTTGAGAGAAGTTTATGGTTTCATCATTTTGACCCCCAGTTGGTTTACTGAGCTTTAATGACGTTGATACACCATATTACTCTAGACCCCCTATCGTTCGCCTCTTATAAACCCGAAAATCCTAAGGTATCGTGACAAAAAGAATACCTTTACGTAACAAAACTGAAGCCCAGTGGTTTCCATATTGTCTATCCCAGTCAACTTATTCATTAACAAGACTTGAGAAGAATTTCGATCTTGTTTAATTTGGTGGCTATTTCAAAGTTAAAAGCCTGGAAGCACTGGATGGAACTCCTCAGCACTTCGCACCAGTAGTTTTGAGGTTAGGCGTTCGCGCCCGAGACCTAAGGCACTGGGTTTGAGTCCCATATGCGGGTCATGGACGCGCACTGCTGAGGAATCCCACACTGTAATAAGGCATTATTTCTAAAAAGTGATTTCATGTATTTAAAATTTTCCTACTTAGTCATCTGAAATGAAAACATCTCTCTCAGTATTTATTGAACTACACATTAGCTAATTTTACAAGATCATCAAAGGAAAGATGCAGTCATAATCAACACATAATTATTATCTAAACTATTAATAAAAACAAATCATACAAAAATTATTGATCATCATATAATAGACTATTTAATTTGTTTCGTAACCATAGTATTTCGTTTTTTTTTAAACTAGTGCCCATATTTATGCAAGAAAAAAATGTTCTTTTTATTATGTCAAAAAATAGTGAGAGGATTACAGAAAATAACTTAATAAAATAATATGACATTTTTCAGTAAAATATAAATTTCAGTTGGATAGTATGTAACTAGTACGTTTACTGTACGTAATGAGGTTAAATTCGATCACATAGGAGAATAAGTAATAAATTGAGCCATAATGATCTTAGAGAATGTCCAACGAGAATTCTAAATGGAATAAGATATGGGGGATGTGCATTCTTAGTTTAAGAGATTTGTAGGGATTGTTGACTTTTATGACGTAAATTACGAACTGATCATTGTTAGATAACTAGTGAAAACTAGGACGCCATAGAAAACCTTTTGTACTTATATATGACTACTCAGTAATCCTCATGTGCGACCCGATTGAAGTCTCCAACGACTAGTTTCGAGCGGTAATTTCATGAGTTCTAATGAGAAAGCGTGATGGAAAGAGTTAAGTAACGTCGAGTGTAAGACACTGAACAATGGCATTTGAATTTGGTTGCAAAAAGTCGTGAACTGATTCAAGCTAGAAATGTAAACGGTTGAATGTCTATTCAGTAGCCTAAAGTCCATGCGTTCATCACAAAACCTGATGGTCACATATAGTTAGAAAAACCTTGTAAACTTATTTGTTTATTAACAATTCTTCAATACGAAATAAAAACGAAACCACTTCGTTGAACAAATTAAAATGTTTTTTTTCTAATTAATTTTCACTAATCAATGTTATTTGGATGCCTGTTCTTATTTCTAAACCTTTAACAAAATCTAAAATTTCGAAAAGTTCATAATATGAAGGACCTCTATCCTGTTATACAACAGTTGTGTAAAAATATCACCTGCTGGAAATAATGAGTGAAATTACTTAAGTAAGAGCTCGAAGACGATGGATAAAGATTTATTTTATCCTTAAAATAAATCTGATTACTCAAAATTTTAAGCGATTTATTTAGGGTGAGGTTTGTATAAATTGAATTGAGTCGTATTTAATATCAGTCAATCCATAATTTATTAAATTATAATAGATATACAATACAATAAACAGAACTATCAATGGTCAATAGATATAACTAATATAATGACCCCCTAAAATTTGGTTGTATTTCATAGACGACTGAAAAATGAAATCAATATTGTTTGTTACCCTCCCGATTATAACAAATAGTGTTTGATAATCTTTCTATCTCAAGTGTCTTTTTACTACGTACACTTTTAACTTCGCTTGAAAACAGTCAGTTTCAAAAGAATAGACAACAGTTATCCAAATTTTATAATAATAAGCTTACTTCTGTGAATAACAGTTTGAATTAATGGAAATTTGAATTTATTGATTATAAAGCAACCAGAAACAACAATGAATCTTCAACTTTAATAGATATTCTTCTACATAGTAATACCCTTTAATGATATAGGGATATTTAAATTATGTAGTATAACCAGTTTTATTTACTAAACAGAAAGTATTCAGCCAAGTCTGAAAACTGACTCATTTATTTAAATTTTGAACTTCATGAATACCATATGACCAATTTGTCTCTAGTTGCTATATTTAGTTATCCATATTTTTAACATGTAATGTAGATGCGATTGTTTACTGTTTTGACGTTCCTTCACAATGAAAAGAATTTGATTGGGTTTTAGTGGTTCGCAAAAAGAGGCTTTTTCAATATCACAACATATATTCCAGTACCTTCTACCTGAGTTTCCTTGTCATGTTTACTTATGGTATGATTGGCAAAAATGAGGTAAAATAGTCGGATCTTAGTTTTATTGGTGTGCAAGTAATAATATAGAAGACTGGGATCCCCAAATCGTTTATGTTTTAAAATGACTTATAATCATGTTTTATTTTTATATTCAGTATCCTTTATATAAAAACGTTAAGTGAGCTAGAATAAAACCCATTCTCATTTTTATGGTGACGTAACCAGTCGACTAATTTCTCATTTATCTTATTACCAACTTTTAATGTCTATTGTAAATTGTTCCTTGTCCTACGTTGTAGCTGACTGACTGATTCTAGATGGTGTTAAACCTAGTTATATACCGTTAGTTAACTGACAACCATTCGATGAATGTTAATTTTAAATTGTAAAACCTATATTACAGTAATGTAAAGAAATAATATGAAGATAAGTGAAAGAAAATTGGTTTATTTCTCAAATGTCTTAATGAGAATTTTGAAGACTTTATATCATATTTATTGTCGATATTTACGGCTACAAATGCTCAGTGTTTGTCCCCACATGTGCATTTTGAGCTGATGCCTTAAAACACTCTTTCTGGACTTTACTGCAAAGCGCAATTCAAGACTTCATTGAAGATAGTTAACAGATAAAACTTAACACATGTTCTTCATGAATACTAAAGCGTTTCATTACGAGTCATATACTTAGCTTTATAACGAACATTTAATTGCATGGCAATAATTTATTTTTACATTTACCTTTTTCTGATATGCTTTTTTTTAAAGGAATTTATACAAAACCTTTTACGAAGATTGAAGTAAATTCATCAATTCCCCTTTTTGTATCCAGTGATGAAATCAATCAATATATAAGGAGGTTGAAAACTTCTCGCCTATGTAAACAGCTTTACACTGATAATAAACACATGTATTTTAACAAGTGTATATCATTGTGTGAATGTTGATAATGACTATAATAAACATCTAGCGATTATTACTATGATCACTAGTATTAGTATTTTTAATCCTTAAATATCACTTCCTTGAAATAAAGTGGCATTTTTGTTTCCTAGATAATTTTAAACGATTAAACTGAAGATGTTCAAGAACCAAAATAGTTTTGATTACTAATTTAAAAAGACTAATTCGTTTTTTTTCACTTTCGCTGTCTAGTTGTCTTTATATTTTTACCTCTTTCATGACCTCTCGCATTATCATTCTCTTTATTTTTATTATAGTCGTTATTTGCCTTTTTGGACTCACTTAATGTCTTGTAACTTTCAACAGACACACTCTCTCCATACGTTTTAATCTAAATACTGTATTTGTACTCATACGTCCTTCGAAAATAATGAAAAAAACCCAGAATAATGTTTATAACAATCTTACTATTTTTAAAACTATTACTACCAATATTATTCATGTTATAAAATAACTGATAGTCCATTTTTTGTACCCCTAGTACTTTATGTACTTGTTATACTAGTACTCAAGTACGTGCGTGCACCCACGTCAATTGTATCGCTTTATATCTCTTATATAAATATTCCAGTCAGAATATATTTCTGAGTGTCAATGTATAAATAAAATGGCGTTTAAAGTGTTAAGATTGTTTAGTGTTATTTTTTAGTTATATTGAAATCATGAACCGATCATGTTAGATCACCACTGAAAACCTGAAAGCAGTGGAATACTGTTATGTGCTAATATGGGTCTTCTCATCAGTGCGCATCCACGATCCAATATGCTGAACTCGGACCCAGGACCTTTAGTCCCACGCGAACGCCTAACCTTCGGACCACTGAGCCGGCATTCATCGGTGATTATGTCTAACTTCAATCAATCCACGAAATCGTGCGACCATCTTCTATTGTCCTTGATGTGTAACTGCTCCACACTCGACACGGATTAGCATCACTGACTACGGCTTCTCGCTAGAACTTCAGGAAATCCACCTTGAATCAAGTCACTAGTAAGCACATGGTAATTATCAGCATGGGGTTGTGAAGATTGTTGAGTTTTTTGATTGAGATAATAAATCGATGAATGTTAAACCACCATTAAAAGCCTTGAAGCACTGGATGGCCGTTTTGTTAAAGGACGGTACTCTTCAGTAGTGCACTTGATTAAGTTTGGGTAATTGTCTATTAGTTGGCTTGTATGGTGATTCGTGTCCTTTTTTTCTGTTTTCAGGCAATACCGAAAGGAAAGAAAATATTTATTTTAGGTTCAGTTCATGCTCGACTTCACAAACAAGCTATATATATACGCAACTATGAAAATAGTTTTTTTCCAAGATATTCTGGTAGTATTTTAATGAAGTTAACATTCAAACCCTTTGTTGAAGAGCTTAATCTTAGTTCAGATTTGATGGTTAAGTTTTTTAACTCATCATAGTGTTTGGTGATATTTCCATTGAAAAGCAAGCCTATAAAGTATAACTCACCCGTATGGCATAAAATCATTGAGTACAGAACATCGATACTTGATATTGATGCACAACAGTGCTGTTAGTCTAGGAATAAGTAAGTTGAAATGGTTCACCGCAGTCTTTTCATTGAAATTATAGAGCCATGTTAGAAAGAAGTTAGAAATTCTGTTTTTGAGCTAGTATAAAAAACGATTTTGATGCAACAAAAAACATTTGAGTAGATTGATTTCGTGGTAGGTGTAATGCAATTCAGTGGTTAAGCTCGAGTCAACTAACTAAAGGTTCCGAGTTCAGTCAGTCTTTGACTTCATCGACTCTAATAGTCAAAGTGTCATAACAGAACCTTAAAGGAAGCAAGTCACTAATGAAATAATTTTGATTCGATGTTTGTGGAGACTGAGTTATAGAACAATGAATTACTGAGATAACCGAACTATTTTAATTTTTTTTCTTTTCAATCCGGGTACCAGAATCGTTGTAATACCAGTCACCAAGAACGATATATTATGGGATTTTCAAAAATGCACATACAATATATATATATATATATACTATATGTCTTGTTATTTCTGACTAGATTTAATTTTATGAAGAAAGGTAAGGATCAATCGAAAAAACCTGGGACTTAAGTCGACCCCAATGACAAAGTTTATTTTAGCCTAGACATAAGATAGAACTTAATTAACCGATGAAGATAAATTATGAAACTAATCTCAGGGAGTTGAGCATAATATAATACAACTAAGTGTGTACCATAATTGATAAATTCATGAGTCGGAACAGTACATCAAAAGAGCACTCGAAAAATTACTTAATCAGATATTGAAACATTTTAAAGTTCCTCAAAAACAACTAAAATCGTCCTAAAGGAAATCATAGATGAAAATCATAGTTAACTTTTAATCATTTCAAGAAAAGGATCGGAATTTTTAACTGCTCAAATATACATCTAAAATTCAACCTCATTCGAAATGTTTTTAAATACTGTGATTCAGTGTTATCAAAGAGGATGACTGATTTCTAACTCCGAATTGCATTCATTTTTATTTCCTGTGATGAGTTCGGAAATTAAATAAGAAAAGTTGGTATCACATTGAGTACTCAATTAAATATTTAAGACTAATCGTAGTATGTATTTTAAAACATTGTAGATCAACAATAAGTTTACTAATGAACCTAAGAAAAAAATATTTATACAAGGATTAGGATTTTAAAAAGGAATGAAAATGAATTGTTGATGAGTAGGCATAGTATAAAGATGAGCGTAATATCTAATCTTTATGAAGTAGCTGCCTTAGGAATATCATTTCTTTTATTCGTCAATCTTTCTAACCAAACAATCCTGTTACTACAGTGGATTTCAGTGAGAAGGTATTAGTGTTTTAAGAGATGTTGTTATTTACAGGGATGCTAACTTACGTATACTCAGTGAGTAATGGAAACTTCAGACATCTGATATTAGACGGAGCCTAATAATTTGGGATAACTACAAGTAAAGTTCATTAACAACAAATTTTGATTGTAAGTAAAGATATTTTAGTACTGAGGAGTTGTTCATTGAGTTAATTCAGTGTTGAAGTACCAGAGATCATTAGACAACTGTTCTGTCCTAACATGTGACTCCTCATCAGTGCACATACGCTATCCAAGGAGTGGTGATAACTTAATCAATGACCCGCTTGGTTGACATCCGGTTGTAAATATCTAAAAGTCTAATCAATTAGTGGTATAACATGGTGATTATTTAATATCATTTATGACTAATTCGCCTTCAACATGAACAAATCCCGACGGTTACGAATTCATAAGAGTTCATTTCGCAAAACAAATATCCTATGTATTATCACTATCAGATCCACGTGTACATATTGCTCAGTGGTCTCATAATAGAACGAAACCGTTGTCCAATAATCCCTAATATTTAGCGGACCTAACAAAAATCACCTAGTATTCTGAATAAATTTCTCCATCGAAGGAACTCATAATAATCTAAAATTTTATCAATATTTATTCCATCATCGATTTTTAACATTCTCTAGCATGACTTATATTTTTTAACGTCTACATTTGATAATTAGTAATCTTTATCATTTAACATTATCATCGATGTTTAAAACAAAATATCTGAGAAAATATTTGATAATTATTGAACCAATAATATTGATAATTCTCTGATAAGTAATTTCTCTTAAAAAATAGTTTTTGTTGTTGTTGTTGTTGTTGTATTTACTCAGACAAAGATATGAAACCAAACAAATTGTAAGAGTAAAATTGTTCTTTTATTTTGTACAACAAAACTCTATTCATTGGCCTAATTGTAATTTTTTTTTAAAACTGTAGCTACATAAATATATTTTGTTTATAATATTGAAATTTTTCTTTTCTGTAATGATTTCAGTAAAATTTATGTACCGTTTTACATTCCACTAAAAAAGCTTTAAATTTTGAATTCTTGAATTGATCTCGTTTTAATTCATACAAGAAAGATCATTTATCATTCAATGAAATGGATAAAGTTTAAATGATGAAATTAATTAATTACAGCAAAATTAGTAAATTATATTTTAAATCTCAAATTGTGCAATCAATATTGTTGATTAACTCCAGAGACTTGTTGGTTTTGAATTGACACCATCTTCAGGCATAAAGAAAAATGTGATGAGGCTTTTATAAATTTCGAAAGCAACCTAGCTGAAAACAGAAAAATCACATTCTTATTAGCCATCGGTAGTAAATTTAAGCTAGAGTATTATGACTAGAAAGTCTTTTTTTGATAAAAAAAATCAATTACCGTGTAATGAATGTCAATACGCTGACCTAATTCCCTTAGCAAAAGACGAACTTAAGCAACCACTACTGATGTGCACTGAAAATGTTCAATTTCAATTCAACAATATATTGTACCGTCGAGTTTATAGAGTGATTATGGAGAGTCCTCTGGGTTTAATATCGAGAGACTTGTTTATATCGAACCTAGAACAAACAGTTGTGAAATCGACAGTTAATGACACTACGTTGTATGTCACGTATGTGTACGATACATTTTTTGTATGTAATGATTCTCAACATCCTTCTCGTATACTGGAACTTTTCAACAGAGAAAATCCTAACATTAGATTTCCTATGGAAGGTGAACATGATAACATGTTTCATTTTTGAGATCTTAGTACTAAACGTAATACCAGTAACCGATGAAAAAGATATATTTATCGAAAGGACATTAGTGATGGGTTATACTTGTACTTCCACAGCTTCTGTCCTATAGGCTACAAAAAAGCTTTGATTAGAACGCTATTTAACCGTGTACACAGGTTATGCTCTCAGGATAAAATTAAGGAGGAGTTAATGATAGTTGAACGTTGCTAACGTGGGAACGGTTATCCAAAAAATTTCATAAGCAATTACAGAACGACTAGAAAAAAGAATCTTATTTGGTGAAAATTAATTGCGTTTGATATCTATGCGTCTTCCATTTTCACTAAAATTTTCTCTTTCTGTCTTGTATTTTATCCCATACATCAGTGTTAACTTAACTCGTAAAATTAGTACAAGCTTTACCATTACGGTTTACATCACGAACTGACCTTAGAAAGCTATTGAAAAGTAGAAAGCATTGAATAGGCATCTCGCTCTAGTATGGAAATACCCAGCAGTGGGCATTATTAACCTCACTCGCAATCGCAAAAGAGATTGCGTTTTTTTGTGAGCGCTTAGACATCAGATCTCAGGGATCGTTTTTCGACTTTATCGATTAATAAATGCCTCATACTCTACATGGTTGAGTGCCACTGGTCAAGATATAGGACAAAAACACCAAGAATTATCGATTAAAATTATTCATGCATGAGCACTCAGTTTTCCATCAACATCAAGATGGTTTGGATAAAATGAAGTACGGTAATCTAATAGAAGTTAGAGAAAAATTTAAATAGTTCGTATACAGAAAAGTAACAAACAATACCCATTAAAGTACATTCATTATTACATTGTGAATACAGGTTTCATTTGGTGAAGTAAAATTAAAGTAAAAGTAAACTAGATATTTTGAGTCGAAAATAGTCTAGTTTGACAAGATGCACAAACTAAAAAAACTTAATCCATACTAATAATATTTATGAAATTGCCCAGAGTACTCACATACTTAAGCCTGTTAGTCATCATTCAGCAGAACAAGCAGGCCACCAGCACTTTTCATCCAACCCTGTCATGGAAAATCCTTTCCAGTTGCAATTCATCTCTTTCATATCTGCTTCCAATACCAGAAGCAGTGTGTTCTCTGACCTTCCTCTTTTCTGTTTCCCTTCAGCAACTCAAGTTAACGCTTGCCTCGTCATGCAGTTTGATGATTTCCTCAATGTGTGTTCTATCCACTTACAGCGTCTTTTCCTAATTTCCTATACAGACCTAAACTCCTTTGTCCTCTCTCATAGTGAGCTGTTGCTGATGGTATCCGGCCAACGAACATTCAGTATATTGCATAGAGAACTATCTACAAATACTTGTACCTTCTTGATGATGGATGGTTGTAGTAGTTCTCCACGTTTCAGCTCCATACAGTAGAATTGTCTTGACATTTGCATTTTGTATATTCTGAATTTTATATAAATTAACATTTGTTTTCAATTCCATATGTTCTTCATCAATCCTCGCCATTGAGTCCTCATCTAATCTTCCTTGTTCATCGATGATACTACCCAGATACATGAAAGATCCCACCTCTTCCAGAGTTTCTCCATCAAGTGTGATTGGATTGGTGTTCTCCGTGTTGTATTTGAGGATCTAACTTTTCTGTTGTGTATGTTGAAGTAAACTGATGCAGATACTGTTGCTACACTAGTTGTCTTGACCAGCACTTGTTGTTGCGTATGGGATAGAGGTATCACGTCATCTGCAAAGTCCGAATCATATAGTTGCATTCAATCTGTCCATTATATTCCGTGCTTCCCTTCAGATGTCTAAGCCTTCACAATCCAGTCGACCACCGGAAGGAAGAAGAAGAAGAAGAAGAAGAGGAAGAGTAGTGATCCTCATTTGACTCCGGTTCTCACTTGAAATGAGTCTGTCAGCTGTCCTCCATTCACCATTTTGCATTGTAGTCTGTTGTACGAATTCTGTGTGACGTTGAAGATCTCAGGTACTCCATAGTGTTGAAGAGAGTTCAACAGTATTCTCTTATCCACACTGTCGAATTCTTTCTCATAATCAATGAAGCTGATGTACAGTGACGATTTCCACTAAATTGATTGTTCGGCGATGATTCGTATTGTCGCAATTTGGTTTACGCACCACCGATCCTTACGAAACCCAGCTTGTTGATCTCGAGGTTGGATGTCTACTGAGTCTTTCATCCGGTTCCACAACACTCTGTTAAAGACTTTTCCTGGTACTGACAGTATTGTGATGGCTCTGTAGTTTCCACATTTGCTCAGATCTCCTTTCTTTGAAATCTTGATGAGGCACCCTTCTTTCCAGTTCGTCGGGACTTGTTCCTCCTCCCAAATCTCTTTGAATAGGAGGTAAAGCATGTTTGTAGTTGCTTTTATGTCTGAATTCAGTGCTTCAGCTGGTATAATGTCCGGTCCTGCTGCTTTCTCACTCTTGATTTGTCTGATGGCCATTCTGATTTCTTCGATCGTTGGTGGATTGACATCTATAGGAAGATCTGTGTGTGTTGCTTCGATGTCCGGTGGATCCATTGGAGCCGGTCCATTCAGGAGTTCCTCGAAGTATCATACCCATCTGTCTCGCTGTTCTTGAATTTCAGTGATTGGCCTCCCTTTTTAGTCCTTGACCGGTCTATCTGGTTTACTGTATCTCCCTGGTAGTTTCTTCATTGTATCATAAAGCTGTTTCATAGTTCCTTCTCTAGCAGCTTTTTCCGCCTTCGTTGCTAGTTCTTCCACGTATTTCTGCTTGTCATCACTAATGCTCCTCTTCACTTGCTTGTTTGCTTCTATGTATTCAGCTTGTGCTTGGACTTTCTCTGCTCGTGTTCGGCTATTGTTAATTGCTGTCTTCTTGTTCTTCCTTTCTTTGATGCTGTCCAGTATTTCTACAGAGATCCATTCCTTATGATGGTGCTTCTTTAGGCCAAGAACCTCTTGACACGTTGAAGTTAATGCTTCTTTGATACCTTTCCAGTTGTCCTCTATAGTAGTTTCTTCTTCCTTCAGTTGGTCCTGTAAGGCTTGGAACCTGTTGTTGAGAGCTGTCTTGAA